CCTTTGTTGTGAATGTCCTCGCCCAGGCTCTTTATGAGTTGTTTTCTGCCACAGATGGTAAGTTCAGATACTTATTTTTTATGAACACTGCTCAGTTGCAGACTTTTAGCACAGAAAACTGGAATTCATTACAAAAGTTAGTAGTTAGTCCAGAATTCAAATGTTACTGAGTTTGTTAACACCTAAGTTGATGTTGGTGACTCTTATTTTTTGCCAGTCCCAGGGCTTGAACTCAGGGCCTGGGCACTGTCCCTGAGTTTCTTTTGCTCAAGGCTAGCACTTTACCACTTGAGCCACAGCACCACTTCTGGATTTTTCCGTTGATGTGGTACTGAGGAATTAAACCCAGGGCTTCATGCATGCTAAGCAAGCAATCTACACTAAGCCATATTTCCCAGCCCAGTTTGTGGCTCTTTGTAACTTTCAGTTCTAATCATCTTATATCTATCATTCCTTCTGGAATACTGTTGGCTTTCCTTAGACAACATTAATAGCAGTGCCTTGTTAATGTAGTCATTAGTGTTCATTTCTCTGGTCTAGACTTGATCATGCACACCCTCACATAAAATTGTGATGGAACATGTCTCCAGTCATGTATGGAAAGGTGGTAGGCTCTTTTACTTCTTTGACACTAGTTTCAATTGCAGGCTAAGGTGCATTTTATTAAATAAACGTGAACTTCAACAAATAGGTTACAGCTAAGTAACTTACTTGAGCCAGTAGCTCTGTAAATCATCGCTCATTGCTAGTTAGTAGGCTGAGATCTGGAGGATTATGTTTTGAACACAGCCTGGGCAGAAAAGTTTGAGACTCTCTCCAATTAGCCCACAAAAAGCAGGGCTGGGGGTGTAGCTCAGGTGGTAGAGTGCTAGCCTTGAGTAAGTAAGCTCAACAAGCTCAAGGTCCTGATTTCAAACTTGGTACTAGTAAAAATAAAAAAACCTAACCAAGTTTATAGTTTCTGTCCTGTTAAAATGTACAAGTAGTAGAGTATATTTACCCTTTATATACTAGAAATATTCTTGTGCTTTGTTTCTTTTTTGTATAGAGGTAATAGTCTATATACAGGTTGGGCATTCCTAATCAATAAAATTTGAAATCTCCAGGCTTTTTTTTTTTCCCTGTCTTGGAGCTTGAACTCAGGGCCTAGGTGCTGTCCCTGACCTTTTTTTTTTTTTACAGTGCTTAAGGTTAGCAGTCTAGTCACAGCTTCATGCTTCACTTCCAGTTTTATGGTGGTTAATTGGAGATACATCTCAGACTTTTCTGCCCTGCCTGTCTTGGTACTGCATTCCTCAGATCTCAGCCTCCTGAGTAGCTAGTTAGAATTACAGGTGTGAACCACTAGCACCCGGCTGAATAACTTTTAAATAACTTTCAGTATCTACATGGTAGCAGTTAGTTACAGAAACAAATCAATGGATACTTGTATTTCTACCTATAATTAAATTTAAAATTTGAAATGTATCCTAGCAGTTGAAATTCTAGGAGTAGGTGTTTTAAAATTATCTTGTCAGGTTTGTTTGGTACACTGTCATTATTTATTTCCAAAATAAATTGAGTCTAGCATAAATGCATGAATATTTTTGAATGATTTCTAAATTTTTTTTTTAGATTCCTTGCACCAACTAAGAAAAGCCTGTTTTCTTTATTTCAAACTTGGTGGAGAATGTGTTGCTGGACCTGTTGGGCTGCTTTCTGTGTAAGTTGCTTTGCTGGTATTGGGGAAACACAGTTCTTCTTTTTTGCCTTGTTTTATAACCCATTAGAATCCCCATCAGGATGTGGCTCAGGGAATGAAAAAGGCATCCGTTAGCAGGAAACAGCATTGCCTCAAAGATGTAGGAGATGGCAACTGAAACCCTGGAGTAAAACTATAGGTTTTACCTGTGGGCTTACTTACATGGTCTGATCTATGAGGAATCTGAATTATTTTGATTGACATGTAGGGACTCAGGAAAGTCAGCTTTGACAGTATAGACATCTGGGAAACTGTTCTTCGTCTGTGAAGTCAAATTCTGTGAGTCATTTGTCAGCTGTAAGCAGAATGTCAATACTGACATGTTTTGGGAAAGCCTAGTTTAGCAGTCCAGGTCAGAGGATTTCAGCCTTGGATTTAAAGATTACGGAAAGAAAACAGCTCCAAATCATTATTTCTGAGAGAAATTACTGGCTTCTCTAAAGGAGATTATTTTAAATAGTTAACTGTAAAAAGTTTTTAGAAGTTGGTTTTGCTGCCAAACATAGATTAAATTTTTCTAAAATATATGCTGGGTATAATTAAGCTTATTTATAGATGATACATAATTAGAACCCTTTATAAAGAATCAGTTTTAATTTCTGGGTTTTATTTCTATTTTTTTCCCATTAGATTATCTCCCAAACCTCTGGTTTTAATTGGACACTTCTTTGCGGTTGCAGTCTACGCCACCTATTTTTGCTTTAAATCAGAACCTTGGATTACAAAGCCTCGAGCCCTTTTCAGTAGTTGTATGGTATTGTACAAAGCGTGTGCTGTAATATTTCCCCTGATTTACTCAGAATTAAGGTACGTGGTTCATCAGTCTTAAAGGGGCCCGGACTGACCAGCTCCTATGAGACTTGAAAGAGGATGTCCCCATCACAGATCTGTACCACTTCACAAACGGAAACTCTTGGACCAAGATTGGGATCACTTGTTTTTTGAAGTTTTTTGTGTATAAGCATGTAAATATATGCCTTAATTTACAATTTAAAATGAAGGGTAAAATAAGCTAGATATTTAAAGGAAATGATTGTTACCATAAATTAGTGCTAACACTGAGGAACTGAAGTGTTTCTGATTTCAGTATTGCGGGCGAGTCCTTGGGACGTGCAAATAAAACAGAGTGAACTCTTAGTTTTTCTGTCTCTTGTGGACTTCTTTACAAAGCTTAACAATCATCGGAAGAAAAACCCAAGTAAGGCTGGAAAGTGTAGAGGGAACCTTTCCAATAGAGGTTGTGGGAAGCTACCCTGTCTGCCACATTTTCCTCCACTGTCTGGTGAGGTTTGGTAAAAGTCTTTTCTGAATTCTTTGACAACATCAAGCCTCTGAAGGAATAAATAGCGGTCAGGGCTTTATCAATTCTACTGCATAATACAGATAGGCATATAAAGACCTCCTGGAAACATGCACTGTACCAGTTCAAATTTCCTGAGTTTATTTCTAATGGAGATTTTGGAGACCTCTGTTCTGAGTATCATGAAACTTCAGCAACCCCCAAACACCATGCAAATTGCAGATAAGTACCATCTGGAACGTGACTTCAGATTCCAAAGACTAGGGCTAAAATGAATCCTAAAGTTTTCTGATTTACTTGAATGAGAAATTCAAGTCAATCGGCCAAATCACTGGCAAATCCAATCATTTCTGTCTTATTTTAGTGAAGCATCTGGAGGCTCTTACTTAGCTTCTATATTCTGATTACCTTTTTGCATTCTTAGATTTGGTCTTTTTAGTAGCTGGCTTTCTCTTCACTGTGTTTAATGTTAACAGACAAGCAAGATATTGAAATGTGGCTGTTTCTGAGTACCAGCTTTGCAGAGTGAAAGATTTTAAATTCCTTAAAGCTGTTGAAAACAGCTCCCTCAAAATCTTATCCTGAGCTGGGTACCTGTGCTCATACCTATAGTTATAGTTGCTCAGCCAGTTGAGATCAATAATCTAGCAAAAAAAAGCTGGAGATGGGGATCAAGTTGTAGAGCATCAGCCATGAGTGAAAAAGAGAGGCAAGGCTCTAAGTTCAAGTATTGGTACTGGCATATACACACAAACACCCTGTCCTGGGCTTTGTTGCCAGGTTGTGAGGCTTTTTCTCCATGACTTGTTACAACCCTTTCTATGTGACAGTGAAATAGTCAAATCAGAATATTGAAGGAACCTGAAAAGTTTAGCCCTAATGTTACAGGTGACACCAGTAGGCTGGCTTGGGAAAAGGTTTGGTTAGTGGCAGAACCAGGACTCAGAGTGTGCCTCCTGCTACATAATCGGTGCTCCTGCAGCATGATTCGATGACTCCAGCATTTCACAAACCATATTTTCGGTTCTTACCCAAGATGCTATCAGAGAACAGCAACATTTCATGTAGAAAGAACCATGTTTGGACTTTGAAGGAGTTAAAAGCTTTTGGCTAAACCTTGTTCTCTTTTCCTCTAAAAAAGATATATGGTGGTGGGGCTTGGAACTGGCTCAGGGTCTGTAGAGGATGGAAGGCAGAGGCTGGCAGGAACAGCTGAAAATTCAGGTCCCTGTAGTGGAGATTGCTGAGAGCCATCAGGGTGTCTGGGACTGGACACCATGGTGAACCCCAAACATCTTGAAGGCACATGGATACAGACTGGTCACTCCCTGTACTACTGGTCTGGCTGCCCACCAGGTGCCAATCATGGGTGGACCAAAGTCCCACCATCTAGCTGGGCAAGCAGGATGTTTTACAGGATGCAAAACTAGCTTTTGAATCGTAAGCAGGACCATCTGATACTGGTAATACTATTTTACTGAAAATCTTCAATTGCACAAATAGTTCTTTAGAACATAAAATTAAAGAGATTTATACATAACAATTACATTCAGCATTTATAAGAGGGAATACAAAAAAGGGTTCTGCTTCTACATGATATAAATTGCATATAATTCCATGATTTTGTGTGTGGGGGGCCTGAACCCAGGGCCTGTCTTTTTCTTATAAGGCAGTAGCATACCATTTGAGCCACACCTCCACTTCTAGCTTTTTGGTGGTTTTTAACAGGAAAATAAGAGTCTCAGAGACTTTTCCTGCCTGGGCTGGCTTCAAAGCAGGATTTCCAGATCTCAGGCTCCTGAGCTAGGATTACAGTTGTGAGCTACTGGTGCTAATTAGTTATAACTAGTGTTGAGATACATCTGTCTTAGAATGATGCTTCCCACAATGGAATGAAAATGCAGTTAGATGAGCAGTTCAGTTGTTTCTTTTCATTTCTGAGTTTAGTGATGGTGGTAATACTGCAGGATGATCTTTTTATTGAAGGAGAAAAAGGCTACAGGACTGTTCTGAATTCATCAAAAATGAAATTAGGCACATGTGCTTCAGCCACCTGAAATATTAAACAAAGGAATTAAATGGTCGCTAGTGTTACAGCTGAACAAATCCCGACTTTTCCCAGGAAGAAAGGAGCATAGCCTCTGGAGCAAGATGAGTCAGAGAAGAGCAGAATTCATGGGAAGAATGACTCTCTGGAACACATTGGCCTGGTGGCCTGAGGTCTGCTTGCATTCATTTACTGGAAGCACTTAACATTTTAGGGGAGGCTGTGTGATTCCCTGTCTACAACGAGTTTTCAAGGCTCTTTGATCTGGTGGAGCACTTATTTAAAAGGTAACTTCAAGTTACCCAGTGTACTTTAGCAGTAGAGGAAGGACAGGCTGTCTGGTGTGGGAAGGGGTGGGGTGCACTTAGGAGAAAAAGGCCCTGGGAAAATGTAGGATGGTCCCGCGAAGTTTATTCCTGAGCTGTTCCTAGGGAAGGAAGCTGTGAGCAGACTGGAATGGGAGTGAGTGGGATGAGAACTAGCTGACTTATGTGCTAGAGAGGCATACTTTTCAAAGGCATTGCTTAATTTTTTCCTCATTGTAAAGGTATCACTTGTTAATTAAATGAAATTCACCAAATGTATTAGCATAAAAAAGAATCTCTAATGTTAATTCCCTTAAAAGTGATAAATTTGAACACTTCCAATTAATACCCAAACTCAATTTAACAGTGGCACAAGCTTTGTTTTTGGTGGGACATACTGGGAATTAAACTCAGTGCTTCTCCCTGTTGAAGCAGGCACTCTATACTTGAGCCATTCATTCATCTAGCCCAAGTGACACAGAGCTAACTTGCTCTCGACAACAAGAAGCAGAAAGAAAAATCATTCAAGCTGATTTTTTCCCCTTCTGGCCAGTTGGGAATATGTTCCTGGTTAGCCATCTTATTGTACTTGGTGGTCTGCTCATAAGAAGTAGAGTGGAGAGGAAGGAGGAAGAGAAGGAAGGTTGAATTCATCTCTGTTCTCTTGGAACATTCTAGACCTGGCGGGAAGGTGGAGCAATTGTGGGGGGGGGGAAGCACAGCAGGGGGAAGGGGCTTAGAGGCCAGGGCTGTGAATGAGCTGGGCCACAGGCCCAGGATTCTAGTTGTTACCATCAGTAGGCATTAATATCTATGGCTTACCCTCCGGGGGAGCTTTGTGTACCGAACATAATCCTCCAGGAACAAAAGAGCACCCACCACGTCTGCAGGCATTTCAGGTATCTTCTGGCTGCAACAGAGAACAGTCTATTTTGTACATACCTGCTTTGTACAGCCCAGGCACCTCTCAGATCTGAATACTAAAGAAATAAATATGTAACAGATTACCAAAACAAAATCAGAGAACAAGTCTGCAGAGCATACTCTTGATTTCTATCAAGCCAACATCTTGCTCTTATCTTCAAATCTATGCAGGATAAAACCTGGTTTACAAGCTGAGTCCTAGTGGCTCACGCCTGTTAATCCTAGCTACTCAGGAGGATCAAGGTTGGAAGCTAGCCATGGCAGGAATATCCCTGAGACTCCTATCCCAATTAATCACTACAAGCCAGAAGTGGAGCTGTGGCTCAAGTGGTAGAGTGCTAGCCTCCAGAAAAGAAAAAGGGAGGGGCAGTGCTCAGGCCCCGACTTCAAGCCCTGATACTACCACAAAATACATAAAAAGCTCAAACTCTGGTTTACAATATGACCCCTGATGTCTGTCCAGATCTCTCTCTGGTGCTCTTCAGTGTCTGGAAGGGTCTGATATGTTCCCGTCCTCTTAGTTACATATATTTGACATTTATTTGAGAGTAAACTTTCGAACATTCTTCAAGTCCTCAACCCTGGGCAGATGGTCTTTTCAATGTTCTCATACCACAATTATAGCCAAAGGGATTTAAGGTTGACAAGTTTGTCATAAAAGAGCAACTTCTTTTTTTTTTCTTTTTTTGGGTCTGGTCGTGGGGCTTGAACTCTGGGCCAGGGCGCTGTCCCTCAGCTCTTCAGCTCAAGGCTAGCGCTCTACCACTTGAGCCAAAGCATCACTTTCGGCTTTTTTCTTTTTGCTTATGTGGTACTGAGGAATCGAACCCAGGGCCTCATGCATGCAAGGCAAGTGCTCTACCACTGAGCCACCTTCCCAGCCCCATAAAAGAGCAACTTCTATGCAATTATTATTTTGCTCTATGGGACCTCATCCTGTGCCTAGGCCCTGACACTGACACATCCTGGAGGTGACCTATGAGGAGTGCAAGGCTCACTGAGGACTGAGAGCTGATTTCAAGTTGGCAGAGCAACGAGACTGCACTCTCTTCCCCTTTTCCCTACGCATCATGCTCACAATTCATTTTTGGAAAAATCTCTCCAAGTACACCTACAGGAGACTCTCAGACAGGGTGAATTCCCTAGGCGGATATGCCTAAGTGCTCCAGGTAAGGTGCTGCACCCTGCCTTGCCTAACAGAGAAGGATAAGCAGCCAGTTCTCATTTCTGCTAGGGTGTTAGAAAGAATTTGCCATGCAAAGCATGAGACATGTTCCATTTATTCCTGGCTGGTCCTCTGTACCTTGTACACTGCTCCACTGTGGAGCGGATAAACTGGCCAATCAATGCCAGGAACTGCTCAGTGTACCGGGAGTGAAACTGTTTCAGCAGAGTGAGCAGTCCCAGAACAAGTGGTGGCCAGTCAACAGGGTCAGCAGGTTTCCGGCAGACCATTCCTGCAAGGGAACAATCACAGCACCAAGTGAGGTATTTGCCTTTGGAATATATATCAAACACGAACCTTGTTAGTGTCCAAATTAGAGAACCAAAGCTAAAGTCCCCATGCTCCTCAGGTTGCATGGTTAACCCTTGGAAGGGTTACTGCTACGCACCTGGCTGATTTTCAGTCCACTGATCTATGTTTCATGAAGGGCATCTTTCAGATGCACAAAGACGTAAGATTTCACAAATATGCATTTTATTATGAATAAGTCTTTTATCTGACATAGTCTTCTACCCCAAGTTCCATAGCATTACATATTAACCTATTGTTGCTGCTTAGATTTGCAAAGCATGAATATGATACAGTACCTAGATTTTTGTTGTACTGAAGTTTTGGCAGCTGAGCAATCAAAAATAGGAAGTTGACAACTGGGAAATAAGGTAAGCGCTTGGTGGTTATATAAATCTGGAGAGACACAGAAAAGAAGTGGATGGTTAATGTTAGTGAATAACACAGAAGACTTTCAGATGGAATGCATCAAGGTTAATTTACTCTGGAAAACATAGTACTCAAGAGTTCTATGAATTTGCTGCTTTCAAAGTTATATTTAACCTGACTCCAGGCAAATGTAAGTATCTACCTCACAATTTAGCCCCTTTAGAAAGGACAACTTTGCTTGAGATCAACAGTTTATGGCCCACCCTTCTGTCAATGTCATCGGTAAAGAGGAACCTATGATGAGCAAGAATGGGAAAGGAAAGCAAAATACAGGAGGCAGATACTGCAGCAGGAGAGAGGGAAAGCCCCGTAGGGCATCGAGTGACCGTACATGACAGAAAAGCTAAGCCCTTGCACTGTCACAGGTCAGTCTCGCTTCTAGTTACATGGCCAGGCAGAGAAGACGGCATTCACAGTTTGGCCATCCTACTGTCTTCAACCCCACAGGAGCTAGGGCACACTGGTTGGGAGCACAGGCTCTTGTCCCTCTCTGGTCCCCTCCTCACCAGGGTGGAGCCCTGGGGCAGTTATTAACTCCTGGAGTTACTGACCTAAGAATGGCCGATTTCACACTGGTTGTGAGGTTGAGATAATTCAGGGACTGGATCGACACAATGCTTGGCTCATAACAAATAAATACTTGGAGATGTCAGTTGCTACACAAAAGATTAACCTTATTCAGTGGGTTGTGAATGCCAGCTGCCTCCAGATAGGCTGTGATTTCATATAAGAGTGTATTATCTTCTTTGGGGTAAGGAAGTGAAGGGTCCTGATAGTGGGCTTCAATATCTGCCAGGAGAGCCCTAAGAGAGGAGAAAAGCAGTGAATGATTAGTTCAATTTACACAAATGTTAACATGAGCCATTATCAGTTCTATCTTGGTAGACTAAGGTAGACCCTTGTATCCAAGAATCTATGGTGCCAAAGAGATCAAGACTGAGGAGAAAGTACGCATGCTCAGGATGCCTAGTTCAGCGCTGCACTGTGAATGCTTGGTTCCTTTTCCCATAATATTGCCCTGTTTCTACCAAGGACCTGCAACGCATCTGAAATGTTCACTTTATTACTTCAGTTACATGCATTAACTTCTAACACATCTGAAATGTTCACTTTATTACTTCAGTTACGTGCATTAACTTCTAACGCATCTGAAATGTTCACTTTATTACTTCAGTTACATGCATTAACTTCTAACTTTGCTTCTGGGGTACCATTTGTTTTTTGGGAAGTATATTGTCACAAACTTTAAGGTGAGGCAACACAATGGATGATAACATGAAGCTGATGGAGAGCTTCTTTTCATCATCTGAGTTGCATAATACATGCATGGGAATTTACATAATGTACACTGGATATGACTGCATTTGTTCACTGGTCTTCCCACCAATCATGTCCTCTCCTTTTTACCCTCCCCCCAAAACGGGTTTTTAATTCATGGGATGGATAGAGGTCTAGAAATTTAGAGATCTCTAAAACTTAAGAGTGAGAACTGAAGAATCTGGGGGTGCTTGGAAGATAAACAATCCAAGCCCACAGACAAGTAGTTTCACATCCTGGCACTTACTTATTGAGATTTTCCAGAGCAGCAGCGAGATGTTTGGAGTCAAACCGACAAGAATAATTTAGCTCATTGGCAATCTGCTGTCTCAGAATCTGCATCTGTCCAACCTGTAAATGAGCAAGAGAAGGAAGAAGCATGACAACCGAGCAGGGTCACAACACTAGAGATATAAGGACTTCTTGGGCTTGCGCCAGGACTGAGACCACATTATACCTGCTGGATCATGAGAATACCTGCAAGGTACACTGAGGAAGACTCTATGCCCCAAAGCCTAAGATTCCTGAGTTAGCCAGGAATAGAAAAGGTGTTATTTATTACTTAATGTTTGTAGTGCTGGGAATTAGATCCAGGCTATATCCATATTAGGCAAGCGCTCTACCACTAGCTATACATCCCTGCCCACAAAGATGTACTTTTTGAAGCTATGTTTGTGATCTTTTGGAATAAGAGCTCCAGGATTAGGAACTACCATCAGAAACCCTACTTCATTAGGTGAGCAGCTTTCCTCTACCATGCCTTCTGTGCCATGATGCTCTGCCTCACCCTGAGCCCAGAAAGATGGAGCAAAGTTGTGTTTCCATCCAACAGATTAAGCTTGCTTTTCTTCCTTAGTTCCAAAGATAGTATTTTATTCATAGTGAGAGGATAACTCATGATCCCCCAAAGAATTGAGCTTCTCTATGTGGGCACTGGATGGGGAAGGGACAAATGTTCTGTTGTAATAGAAACTTGGATCAGTCCTTGCTTCTATCTGTAAATGGAAAGATGAGTTCATTAATGAACTTGGGTGAAAATGTTTATCTCCTTGTATGGAAGTATGGCTGGATAATACCGTTTCTAAAGAACTAGTTTTCTTGAGCAAATGGGAAGCATGAGGCCCTAGTCACCAGAGCCCCAGGAAGGAAATGAAGAAATAAATGACTTTACTTAGAAAACACAGCATTGGTCACCTCCTTCTCTCCCACCACATACCTTCATGATAGCCTCAAGGTAAGCACTCCAAATCTTCTGTGTTTTGGCAATGGCAGAAAGATAAATTTTATTGGAATTTGCTGAAAAATTAAAACAGTTTCTATTTAGTAAATGCAGAGACTACAGCAGTGTGAGCTCTTTTTCAGGTAAGTCTCACAACACTTACCCACAATGCTCTTTAAGGGGCTGACAGCATTCATGAGGGTTTTTAAAGTCTCTTGAACAGTTCTGTCTCTCAGGATAATTTTCTGAAACATACTGAGGAAACTCTAAAAGCAAGAAGCCATGGTCAGAAAGACAAACATGAAGCCGGGCGCTGGTGGCTCACACCTGTAATCCTAGCTACTCAAGAGGCTGAGATCTGAGGATCGCGGTTCAAAGCCAGCCCGGGCAGGAGAGACCGTGAGACTCCTATCTCAAATAAACCACCAGAAAACCGGAAGTGGCGCTGTAGCTCAAGTGGTAGAGCGCTCGCCTTGAGCTGAAGAGCTGAGGGACAGCGCCCAGGCCCAGAGTTCAAGCCCCACGACCAACAAAAAAAAAAAAAAAAAGAAAGACAAACGTGATGCACAAAGCAAGTAATAGTCCAGGTGACTCAAATGCGGCATAGAACACGGATCGCCCCTTACTCATGCAGCCTCTAAATAGGATGAAGGAGGGAGCAGTAACGTAGGTAACCAGTAGAAACAGCTGTTGTGGCAGGAGTTACTAGTTTCAAAGATAAAAATAAAATTTGTCCATATTTCTATGGATTGTTTCTTCCTAAGTTGAAACAACCCACAGAAATAGGACACTGGCCAAAGAAACTCGTTTACTCCCCATTCTTACCTACCTAGTCAAAATCATCTTTGTCACACACATCCGTGGGAGAGTGTAAAAGCAGTTAGGAGAATTTAACTTGCCCACCAATACCTACTGCTGTCACGTCTCCCCTGTGCAAACAGGCATGTGCCCCCTAGGCTCACCTGGAGTTCTTTCACGATCATGAAGCACAGGAGCCTGTCTAACCCATTCAGTCCAAATGTGCCCAAGGTGGTCTGGATTTCAGAGAAGAGGCGACTGCTGGTCACTTCCTGATGAGTTTTCATGTCATACCAGGTATTCAGCTGGTCTATGTGACATGTCATTCTGAAATGAAAGCAAAACAAACTCAAAGCAGCTTGGAAAGCATCAAGTGATGTGGGACTCAAGATGAGGTGGGACATCAAATACCGAGAATAAGAGTTTATTTTACACGCCTCATGTTTTCTAATCTCTGTGGCTAGGCATCTAATATGTCTGCATGAGAACCACCCAGTACACCAGGACAGTTACATTCCAGTAACCACCTCTGCCTACTCCATGCTGCTTATTAGTTTTCTTTATTCCCGCTGAGTCAGGAGAGTGGTTTGGAACCATGCTATGAGGCTTCAGGATTAGAGAGCCCAGTTGTGCCTGAGTTGTCAGAGACTGGGATCAAAACAGAGCCTAGTATCATGTCCACTTAGTGAAAGAATTTAAGCGTTCCTGTGCTCTAAGTTTAAGACTATGAGGAAAATGCCATTTGCTCTTTCCTCTCAGTTACTTAAAGTGTACTTGCCATTTTCCAGGCACCACCCAATGACCCTTAGTCTCAGGAAAGAGGATGATGAAGACAATGGTACCAACCAACAATACCTACTGGGCACTCAAAGTCACCCTATATCATCCTCAGTCTCTTCATTTTACAGGTAGAACGATGCCCCAAAAGGCCTGGTGTCAGTACTATGCCTTAAACCACAATTTCAAACCTTTTGTTCTCAAGCCTTGGGGGGAGAAGCCATGAATCACTGGCAGAGCTGTGTTCCATTCCTGGAGAATGATTTGGTAGGTGGTGTGGGGGAGCCCCAGACCCTGCATTCTCAACAAGCTCCACTGACATAGGCTCCACATTCTAAAATCTACCACATCCCACATACTTAACCCCAACAGGGCTTGGGAGGGAGCTAAAAGAATCACAGGAACAAGGGAGGTTAAAGGTAGAAATGTAAAGAGTAAAAAGAGATCAATTCCAGAACTGCATGTAGCTTCTACTTTCAGGCTTCAAAGTGCCTTTCTCCTACCACTGGACACACTTTGAATGTGTCATTTGAGGTCCCCAATTTGGACCCTGAAACCAATATATGACATGGAATCCCACCATTCCCATGCATCACATGAGGCATGAGGAGGCAATATTTAAATGGTCTTCAGGGACTCCATCCATGGGCATCAAGAAAGGAAGAATTACAAAACTTGCTGGTTCTTTTACATTTTGGGGTCTACCCGTGAGTCATAGAAACAATACATTATTGCTGGAAATTTTGGGGGAAGCTTATATAAAATTAGTCAACTTTCCTAAGGCTTAAGAAACAAAATTAGCGAGGACTGGATGTCAGTACAATGAAGCCACGTTATAGAAACACTGGGAGAGAGAAAGAAGAGGGTAATTTTCTTCTAGGTAATTCCACTACTCACTGACCTCAGTGAGCAAGTAACCAGGGGGTAAACTGAGATAGAAGGCACGAACTGCTCTTCCCTCAGGCAATCTGAGTACAACTGTTCCCACAAGCCTCAACAATGAGGAAGAGAGGAGGAAAGCTTGGTTAGCTGGATTTGTCAAGCGGCAGCATGGCTATCTTCCTTGGGTCTACCTAAAGTATTCTTAAGGACAATTTTAATTAGGAGATTTTTACCTATTCCTTGCGAATGCAGAACCTATGTGATCTGAGTGCGTACGGTGCTTCACTGCTCACCAAGGTAGGTGGTTTGCATTCAGTGGATTCTGGAGGCCTAGGGCCGCTGGGTCCACTACTTATCTGTGTGGTGATGGGAAAGCACCAAGCCTTTCTGTGCCTCCTCTTGTCTTGTTTTGTTTTCCTAGAGAAGGTATCATTGAGTAGCACAAGCTAGCCTTGCACTTAAGGACTCATGGTCCTCTTATCTCAGCCACCCTCAACTGGATTTACAGCAATTTTAGTTTTCAAAAATTGAAAATGAATTTTAAAACTCACTTAAAAAAATGGGAATAATAATGATGCCTACTGGGTAACACTGATCAAAATGTATTATATTCATAAACCTTTATCCAACTTATAAGATTAAAAAAATTTTTTTTGAATGCATTAAGAAACCTGGAAGTCATTTTTTAGGGTCAGCGTGTTGGGTTGACAAGTACAAGATCAGGGTATCGAACAAGGGAGTACACCTCTGAGTCAGTAGAATCCAGAAGCACCTACTTTGGGTCTGTGATTCGCAAGATTTCTCTGCAGAGTCGACCAATAAACGTTACAGACTCATCTACTGGTGTAAACTTTGGTATTGGAATATGAGTAGACTGGTACATGCTTTGCCAATCTTGAATCTAGAAAACAAAACCACAAATATTTAGTATATGTTTAACAAGGTAACCCAGTTAGCCACTTAATTTTACAAAGATTAAAGTACATAAAGACTGACCATAATGGTCCTTGGTTTTGAAGAGCAAACTTTGAACACTGTATTAATAGCCTGCCTAAAATGCTACATATTAATGATAAAGAACAAATATAGACTGGAGATGTAGCTCAGTGGTTGTGGCCTGGCAAAGCAACGCCCCTCTTCACCAAAGAAGAAACACATTTGTGAAAGAAGAGGCCAAGGAGAAGTGAGAAGGAATACAGAAACTTCTTTTTGTCTTTTGAGTTGACATGTACTGTGTTAATATAAAAATCTAAGCTATCATAAGGCTGGAAGTAATCTTCAGAGGATGTCATCTAAATCATGTCAGCTCCTAACATAAAACTTTGTAGAGAAGCCCTTTGTTAACTACTGTCTAAATAAATCATAGCACACATATTTATGAACACCTGTATTTGGTGTTATTTTTTTTTTTAACCACTCAACTGAAAATAGGCAAAGGATTCTGTAGACGTTTTTCCTAAGAAACAATATATGTTGGCCAATAAGCGGGTGAAAAGTTGCTCAGTATCACCCATTATGGAGTGATGTCAAAACCACAATGAGGTACCATTTCCCACCCATTAGGATGGCCGAAATGAAAGATCTGGAAAGTAGTCAAGTGCAGGTTAGGAGGCGAGGAAAGGGCTGGTGGAGCCTGACGTGCTGCTGGTGCTCCGGAAACAACAGGTTCAGTAGAATGACTGGGACAGTGCCTTGTCCGAATCCAACTGAGGAAATCTCATTTTCAGAACTCTCAATGGCTCACTGCAAGCAGCCATAGAATACAGCCAGTGAGTTCTGCCTGCATTCTTCATAGGACAGAAAGCTCCCTGAAGTCAGGTGCCATAGCTGCTCTTCTGATGGCTCAAGGTGCTCTGAGGTACCTACTCATGGGAAGTAACAGATTTAGTCAGGAGCTTTAAGATTTATTAGATACCTTTGTTCTTAAGAAGTTATTACACTCTTGCTCCACATTATAATTTATAATACGAGAGACTTCTTCCTGCCAAATCTTCAGACCGTAAATGTTGACATAGTCCTGTATATATTCAAACGAACGATGGAATCCATCCATGGTAGCTCCCAACTCTTTCAGCTTGGGCATCAATTCACTTGGCTGTAGAGAAGGGAGAGTGTATGACATTGGACTAGATTTTTAACAACTAAAACCTTCATTAGATTTTTTCATTTCCAACTTCACAACAAGCATGACTGGCAACTGTGCCAGACATTCAGCCAAGAATAGAGTTCAGCCAGTTAAGAAATAAGCCTCATATAAAGGAATATAAAAGAAAAAGGATACGAATGGTATCACTCCTGCATTTGCTGAACAGTTGAATGATGTGTTTTAAATAACTCATTGAGGTGAAAAATATACCAGAAAAATGACCATATTTTCTAACAGATAAAGCCAAATAAAAAGTTATGGCCTTTATATTTCCTAACTGCTATGTCTAATAAATTCTTTGAACTATAAGAATAACAATCGCAAAGTTTACTTCAGTTCTTGCACTTGGGGACCAACAACTTGAAGGAAGAAGCGCTTGTTTTAAAGAGGATTTTCTTATGAGTGGATTTTAAAAGGGATTCCAAAGCTGTGGCATTAGATATACAAGAGAGAGGAGGAGAGGTCCTGCCCACATGGTGGGTTAGCCATGTTCTCACTGAGAGAACAGCACAACCTCATTTGGGTGATTGGTACCTTGGCTCGAGGGTTGAATATCAGTCCTCTGTGAAGGGCAAAGGCGACTCGTTTAACTAACTCCTTCCTTATTCCATCTTCCAGCAACTGCTTTGGATCCACCTAAGTGCAAATCAAAAAGCATCAAATGGCAGTTAGAAAAAGGTAGTCCTGAAGAAATTCAGAGGAAAGACCATTTCCAGACGCTGTAATTGACATTTTCCTGCCTTGTTTCCCAACAATCTGGACTTTTTATTTTTTTTTCCTGCCCTTATTTATCTTGTATAGCTTGGACTAAATTATTAACCCTGCCACCTCTTTAAGTGATCTGTCTGAAGTCTTAGTGATCAGAGTGGGCCTACATCCCTTGTAAATGTTTGAAAAACTCTCTGAAGTTAACTTGCAAAGATTACTGAGGGTTGCCAACCCTTCCGAAGACCCTGCATTCTGGATTCTTGTTGTTACACTGGGGGAGTCAACTGGGGCTGAATGGGATTGTCCGCATGAAACAGTGAGAGACAGGGTCAGAGGGAGTGAACAAAAAACAAGACAATTTTGCCATTTTCTTTTCTGTAACTATTTATAAAGATGTGGCCTGAACCGGGCACTGATGGCTCATGCATGTAATCATAGCTGAGATCTGAGGATCATGGTTCAAAGCCAGCTCAGGCAGAAAAGTTCCCATGAGACTCTCATCTCAAAAACTGGAAGTGGTGCCGTGGCTCAAGTGGTAAAACGTTAGCCTCAAGCACAAAGAGTCTCAGGCCCTGAGTTGAAGCCCCACAACTGACATTAAAAAAAAAAAAAATTGGTCAGATGCCAGTGGCTTATGCCTGTAATCCTAGCTACTCAGGAAGCAGAAATCTGAGGATCATGGTTCAAAGTCAGCCTGGGCAGCAAAGTATGTGACACACTCTTGTTGTTTTGATTTTTATCGGTCATGGGGCTGGACGCTGTCCCTGAGCTTTTCAGCTCAAGGCTAGTGCTCTACCACTTGAGCCATAGCACCACTTTCAGCTTTTTCTGCTTATGTGGTGCTAAGGAATTGAACCCAGAATCTCATGCATGCAAGGCAAACACTCTACCACTGAGCCACCTTCCCAGCCCCATATGTGACACTCTTATCTCCAATTAATCATCAAGATAAAAAAGCCAGAAGTGGAGCTGTGGTTCAAGTGGTAGAGCACTAGCCATAAGCAAAAAAAAAAATCAGGGATAGTGCCCAGGCCCTGAGTTCAAGCCCCATAACTGGCACACAAACACATACACAAATTCAGCAAAATATATTTCTCTTAGATTTAAATAATTCTTGATTAAAACAGAAAACTGGTACCATACATTTTCTCCTGAACTACTAAAGACACTCCAAGATTATACTATCAGAAAGCCTTCAGTTGTTATGAACAAGTAATGCTCTCTCTTCCTTTATCCATACTTGAATAAAAACAAGTCAGGGTATAAAGATGTAAGAGGAGATACTGATTACGATGCATTGTACTTATAAACTCATTCGTTGAATTGGAACTTCTTTGTACAGCTACTTAAAGGTAATAAAAAAAAATCAGAAACCAAACTCAGACTGTGATACAACAGTAAGGTCACTCTTGGTTCCACATATGATAATTAGCAGGAAAGTCCAATCAATCACAAGGCCACACAGACAAGCATCAAGATGTTACCTTGATGATGCCGACCAAAGTCGTTTTCATCATTAAGATGCCTTCGGTAAAAATGGAAATAGCATGAGTAAGCTTGGCAACCTTTAACAAAAAGAAAGAGGACCAATGTAATACTTCAGGTAAAAGACTCATCATTTTTATGGAGGATAAAATGATTGGCTCATAGTCCTGGAATGGGTAAAGACAAGAGGAAATGACCGCCTGGCTGCACGAAGGATATTTACAGGCTTGGGACAGGAATAAGCTCAATGGTGAAGGACTGCTGTTAGCCAAAGAGTTCTTTAACCTTTGACAAGGAAAAGACCAACTAAGACTCTTTGGGGTCATCTTCCCTTCACTGGCCTCCATGTTCTTTCCAAGCAAACACCAGGACATGGACAAGGTAGACAGATGCTGTATTGTGTATTCAATAAATTACTTGAAATATTTGACACTTGTGTTAGATGACTGTACCTAACTATATATTAATGTAATTGTTCTGAGTGTATTTAAGGAACACAGACTTAGCTATGATATTCAGCAGGTTGGGTCAATTAAATGCATATTCTACTTAAGATATTTTCAACCTATAATGGGTTTGCAGGGACATAATTATCCTAAGTCAGGTTGCACCTGAACAAAGGTGGTAAGTCTCAGCAATCCAGCCCAAAGAGGGCAGGACAGTTTTCCAAGTCAGTATAAAATATGAGCAGATGAGTGAGCGGCTGAGCTTCATTTCCACTGAACACTTAGCCCTAAGGGACACCAGAAAGATGTTAAGAATGAAAGTGTGATGGTCCTGAAATGTAAACCACAATGCACTGACAAGTGTGATAACCAATCAGAACTTGTTTGGTGATCCCTGGACCATGGCAGGAGTCTCAGGCCTATGACACTTCACAGCTTTAGTTTTAATCAAAGGAACATGCTACCTCATAGCGTGGGCCGAGCTGAGCGTAATCCCTCAGCTTGTCTTTGTCCAGGCGAGTGGGCACTTCGATGATATCATGGGTCTGAAGCTTTATGATCTTCAGAAGAGATGTAAACATGCTTTCTGGAATGATCTGCAAAACCTTTAGGGGGAGAGAAAGAAGGAAATATGATCAAACATCGGTTTCATTTCTCTTAGCTGATAAATGTTAGGATGACAGCAAGAAGGTTCCAGTGGTACCAACAGCAACTTGTCTATAGAAAGAAATGCCAAAAACTTAGAAGAGCTGTCTTTATAACTGTTGGCAGGCATAAGATCTCTTCAAATATTTATTACTACAAAACATAGAGTTATTTTGCCTAGAAAAACTTAAAAAACGCAACATTCCCACAGTACAGATTTAAAAAGATGTCCCATGACATCATTGTAGTGCACTTGGTTAATAGGTAACATAGATTGGTTCTGAAGTCAGTCCTGTCTAGCTCCTTGTTCCATTATAAAGTGACTGCAGCAAGGCCTAAAATTCCCATGAAAACTCAAATTACTTCTGAAGAGGCTATGTCAGATCTAGATCTGCTGCTTTCTCCAAACAGCTCTGTGATTTTAATGAAGTCACTATCATCTCTGTTCCTCAATTTCTGCATGGAGAATATGGCGATCAAGATTACTGGCACTTAAAAAATTAGTTATAAACTTTTTTGCCTAGTAAAAACATGTCCTCATGTGCACTGTGGCAGCATGAATACCTTTGCTTTCAGGTACTACAAATTTCTGGAATCAATTAGAAAAGGTTAAACAACTTTTGACAGGGCCCAACAATACCTTCTATATTCAAGACAGCATGTTAGCCCATACAAGCAGAAATTACCTTGATGCACTTCTTACCTTTCTCACATAGGACACCAATTCTCCAGAATAATACTGAGACACGCTGAGCAGGTCAGGGCTATTTGCCTGATTAATACGAAGAAGGGGAAGATCAAGGGCAGAGGCGAGCTGGAAGAAAAATAAGATATATCTTTCTCTGCTTCCAAAGTCCTAGAAATTCCTCTTTGCAGAAAATGTTTATGTATCCACCCCTTGGGTTTTATCCAAAAGAGGGCAACAAACACCAAACTTCATCAATACTGTAGTTTCCACCAATTCCTTTAAAAAAATGATTTACCTGCTATGGCAGTGGTTCTTTCAGTGTGGTCCCTAGACCAACAGCATTTATATCAATTGGGAACTTGTTAGTCATGTGTACAATTGGACCCCACCCCAACTGACTTAATAAGAAATTCAAGGGTGGGATGTGATTCATAATTTGTGATGTAAAAAGCCCTCCAGGTGACCACTGACATGAGCTCAAGTTGGAGAAAGCTCAACCCACCCTTCAGACACCATCAAGTATAAGAGGTGCCATTATTTCATGGACCACTCAGAAAGAACTGGATGGCAAGTAAATTGTGATATGCCATCACTTATAAAACCCAGCTATCATTACAGACCTTTAAAAATGTTAAACAAGTGCATTCTGGAATTGATAGAGCTGGTTATGGTCAGAAGTCACCGGTAAGCTCTCTGTTCACTTCCCATATGTGGAAATTATGTTGAGAGCAACAGCTATGCTTGTCATTCACCATTAGTCCATGTTTTTGACTAGTTCATAATAAAGGATCAATAAAAAAACCTCTAATGAATAAATAGGAGAACTTAATTCATTATCTAGAGAATAAAGGCTCATGAGTCATTATTTTTAGTAACTAATGATCTCATTTAAAAACATTTTTTATGATTTCCAACCTTTATTTTAATATCAAACAAATGTTTCTGGCATCTTTTGAAACTCTGCTCTCATAAAAAATTGCTAATGATCCTGAGTCTACAAAAGCCTTAAATGGTCTGATGAATGAATTTGGTCAGAAGGACAGTCAACATGATACTCGTGACAATGTGACCTCATTGTTCTCTGCTCACCTTAAGGAACGTGGCTCTGAGTTTAGTAACCATGGAGGGGTTCACTCGTATGCTGTCTTGCATGATGGATGTGAAACTGTAAGAGAGAGTCGTGATTAGAGGATGTTCTCAGTGTCTTTCATCAAGGGCAAGTTGTCAGTCTTTTTACATTACCTGTCAATTAACTGCCAAGCAAAAGAAAGGTCCCCGGCAATCTGCATGGTGATCAGGACTTCCTCCTTAATGTTAATTGTTCTGATCATTTGATGGAGAAATTTGCGAGTATCAGCAAGAAACTGGCACACTTGTAGATTTGATTCCAACTGGTGAAATTCTTGAACCTGAGTTGCATAAACACATTTAGTTAAAACATCAGAATGGCTTCTGTTGTGCTATTTTTGTGAAAATACTCCAAATGCAGACTAGTTGGGCTGGGCAGGGTGGCCCACACTTGTAATCCTAGCACTTGGAAGGCTGAGACAGAAGGATTATGAGTTTGAGGCCAGCCTGGACTACAAACTAAGACCTTATCTCAAAACAAAACAAAATAAGCTAGCATTTACCATTTTAATGATTTCTTGATAAAGTTTTTACTTCAAATAATAAGTTCAGAAATATATAAGCAAAACCATAAAAAGTCCTCAAGAACTATAACATGAAAAGTCTTTTCTTACCTCTTCCAAAGCCTGAATTAGTTGCACAGTTTTTCTGCCTGCAGCTGTGGAATCATCATAATTTAAAGACAATATTTGTTTTGAGATCTCTCTGAACCAAGCTTGAAGATTTTCTGTTAATATAGAAACCACCACAACAAAAAGTCAACTGAAATCCAGAATTCTTATAAATGTGGCTTTGAATTTAATTAAATAATCTTTTACAAATCCATTTTCACAGTTTTTACTAGGTACCTAACACTGATTCTGTCACTTTTCTTTTTTTTTTATTGGTGGGGGGGTCCGGTCATGGGGCCTAAACTCTAGGTCTGGGCGCTGTCCCTCAGCTCTTCAGCTCAAGGCTAGCCCTCTACCACTTGAGCCACAGCGCCACTTCCGGCTTTTTTCTTTTTGCTTATGTGGTGCTGAGGAATCGAACCCAGGGCCTCTGGCATGCAAGGCAAGCGCTCTACCACTGAGCCACCTTCCTAGCCCCTTCTGTCACTTTTCTAAACACTACCAATAAAATATATGGAACATGTACCCTTATAATACAGATTAAACTTCTACATGAATAGCTTAGTCTGTAATACTTTCTAATTAACTGGCTAATTTTTTCCAACACAAATAATAAAACACTTTGAAGACACATTTTAGATCAACCAAACAGCATTAAATAAATAAAAAAACCTAGAATACAATTAAAGGTGGTAGAGTTATTTTTTTTTTTACAAAAAACTGTATCACTATAAATAGTTTCATCAGAAATGAATATGATCACCAAGACAAATATTAAGCATTAAAAAACAGCTTAGGAAGGGATGACATTGACCAAGATGCATTTTGCTTATAAACTTTTTTTTGTGGTACTGATGTTTGTACTCAAGGCCTTGTGCTTACTAGACAAATTAAAGAAGCAGGATCAATATTATTAAAGTAAAATTGGAGATTTAACAGTCTGCAGGTCTGCTTTACTGCCACTAGATGGCATTTATACTGGTGAACAGAAATCAAGCAGGATTAGAAGACGAGAATCTTAGTGTGATCCATTACTAGTTATTAATATTCCTAGGTGACATATCTTTTTTTTTTTTCCTAGGTGACATATCTTGAGGTCACAGAGCTACATATCTTGTCTTCCCTTTCCCAAATCAACTTTGCATCCCACAAGGGCAGGGACAGATTAAGACTCTTTAAGCCTATCTGTGAATCAGAGTTGCAGAACCTATGATTTGGCCTAACTTCATATTTCAAACATAAGCTAGGGAACCTGAAGTCCAGAATGAACGTGAACATTACCCAGGGCAGCACAAATCTAGAGATAGCCCAGACTGAAGTTCCAAGCTTTATTACTAATCAGGAGGATGATATCAAGCATACAAGGATGAAAGCACAGGACTTTCTCTTTTGGCCAGTTTCTAAGGTTTCAAATCATCTGCACATACATTTCAAACACACCAGTTCCTCCTCAAATTACCATTTTTCTCCACTCTGGTCAGAGGTTTCACTCCTGAAAAGACATCAGCAAGCTCGGTCATCCTCTCAGAACCCTCCTTCTTATAATGCTCCCACTTGGCTTGCTTTTCAGAAAGCATCTGCTTGAACATCTGTTGAAGAGACAGGAAAGATTTATGGTTTTACAAGAAAAAAAATCCAGATCAGATTGTTTATATAAAGACCCCAAAATGAAACACATGGACTATGAAAAATACGTACCAAAAAATTAATATTGACCCTGATGCTATCTCTCCAGCATTGCTATGATACACAAATCTAGGGGCAAAACTCTAATATGACCACCTCTAATATATATGCATAACCTGCAGGCCTTGAAGGTTTTCCAATTCTCAAGGTCAACTCCTAGAGATTTAGTTCAGAAGGTCTGGGGCAGGTTCAAGAATCAACTTTTTAATATGAGATTCAATTTCTTACCACTAGGTCTATGGTCCTTTTTGGCAACAAATCTTGTAACTCCAATTTAATTAGTCATGTGGAATGAGCTAAATTACCTACAGACGTTCTTTCTTGTTACATTGTATAGTAATTCTGTTTGTCAAAGCTCTGTAACCCTATGAAGACATGAACCAGAGTGAAAATGGTGTAACTAAGGGTACTGTATATTTATTTAAAAAACACTCTTATTTCTGGTAGGTGCTGGTGGCTCAGGTCTGTAATCCTAGCTACCCAGGAGACTGAGATATGATGATCGCAGTTTAAAGCCAGCCCAGAGCAAAAAAAGTCCCTGTGAGACTCTTATCTCCAATTACCCACTCAAAAACTGGAAGTAGCACTGTAGTTCAAGTGGTAGAGCACTAGCTTTGAGCACCAAGAGGCTCAGAGACAGTGCCCAGGCCCTGAGCTGAAGTCCCACAACCAAAAAGAAAATACTTGTTTCTAATGAAAAGCCATATCAGACAAAAACACACGGTTTATTTTACTGTGCTCTTTTGAGATAAGTATGTATAAATACTTTTTTTTAAAAGAAACTCTTTGTCAGTGTCATAATACAATTGAAAAAGAGGAATAGTGGGTATTTGCAATGAAATGCATCAAAGATGTGTGGGATACTGTAGTATTTGTGAAGGCTGGCACTCTGCCACTTGAGCTGCAGCTCCACTTCTGGCCTTGTGTTGGTTAACTGGAGATGAGAGTCTCACAGACATTCCTGCCTTGTCTGGTTTCAAACCATGATCCTCAGATCTTAGCCACCTGAGTAGCTAAAGGCGTGAGCCACCCATACCTAGTTTTAATCTTATTACTAAAAAAAAATCTTTAAAATGCAAAAAGCACTATAAAACTCTGGTGATTATTCATTCAATATTTTTACCTCCTTGAGTATAAATTCAAACTGTGCAGTATCCAACAGCAACTGGAAAAGGATTTTGGGATTGTACCTACAGTCTGTCAGAATCTGGTCTTTGATTTGACGAAGGCGTTTGTTATTGGGGTCACAAGCTAGAAACAGGAAGAAAAAGAATTATTCACTTATTAAGTGAACAGGGAATATCTATAAAATAGATGAATTCCTCAATTTGAACATTTGAAAGTTTTAGGCACCATGTAATAACAACAGGTGGTAAAACAGAGCATGTCTATACTATTAAGTGCAACTGAACTTTGGATGTCATTTGAGTCTAACATGGGAAGACATTTCCTAATGCACTGTTGAATGAAAACAGCAAGGTGATGGATGGTATTTCTAAAGTTGCTAAGTATTTTAGGGTTGGCTTATATCTACCCCTTCTCCAATGGCAGGGCAGAGCTTTTTGGTAACATTTCATTTGAGGGTGGTCTCTTTATGTCCTGTTTGCTTGGAGTTTTTGGTTTAGATACTGACCCATGCTTTTTAACTGTAGACATGAAGGCCTGAGATTGCTACCCTGTTTGTAAGGCTGGCTGTTGGTTGGCATAGGGAAACTTGGATTTTGAGAACTGATAAGAAGGCTTATCTCTTATATGAACAATATGGTTTGCTAGACATTTTGGTACTTGTCAAGCAGATACTACTTGCATGATCAGCCCCTAATAAGTACCCTGGGAAGGAGAGTTGAACAAGCTTGTCTGGTTGGTAACATTTCTCACAAGTTTGGGGAGTTCAGTGAGTCCTGTGTAACTCCGCTGGGAGTAACATTCTAACTGAACAGGAGACAAGATTCACACTAGTCCCACAGTATGCTTATGCACAGTCCTGCTTGCTTAGTTTCCTTTATCAGCAGCCCAGATATATGTATGCATATATAGCAGGGCCATGTTGGAAGATCCTGCATCCTTCTGATGCTTCAGAAGTGAAGCCCATAGAAGCTGTCTTATGTATCACTTTCTAAGTTACTCCTCCATTAGGAGGAGACACATGACAAGGTGGAAAAAAGGCTCAATTTAGTGGAAAATTGTAGAGCTCTCATTTCTCATGCATTTTCCAGAGTCTCGGGGGGGGGGGCGGGGGGCGGTGTGTATATTAAAAATGGTGATATAGATTACAGTAAGAGAACATTTTTAGCTTTGTATTTGTATAACTAAACTATACATATGAAACAGACAAACAAAAATAATTCTTTTAAGCCTCAGGAATTCTATTTGCCTTTATAGTAATTCTAATTAAATAAGAAATCTGGTATCAATTTGCCTTCATTTTTGTTTAGGGGATATAACCCAGGTAATAGGAAAATACTCTAATATCTCCATGAACATTAACATTGAAATTCTTGGTACAACCAGCATTGGTTCCAGTCTTCTCAGGGCCCGATCATCTCTTTCCATTCTGATCCTAGAAAATTCTGGACCAGAAAAGTTTAGGGATGAATCCTAGAACTGTGGTAGCCTAGGGCCCGGCTTCAGCAGCCAGCCAATCTTACTTACCCAGTGCTGCTCAGGGTGTGTCCCCCACAGCCACCAGGCTTTGCAGAAGCATCCTGGACCTCGGGGAAAGGTCTGTAGAGCGCCAACAGGAGGCAGCCAGAGAATCTACACACTATGACTGCCACATTACCATGGCTAAATAAGTCGTCACTTTCCCCATGACTGAGTCATACCCAGAGAGGCAAATCATTTGCTTCTGGTGAATCATATCCTTGTGCAATCAGGTCAGACAACTGCCAGCACAAACATGGAAAACAGATGTAGCTGAAGATAGAAACCCAGACCTCTGGCATGCCGAGGTTGCCTTGGCATGGGTGGAAAGCCAGGAGGCTGCTGGCTCCCAAAACATAGGCTTGACTCTTAGGTCCAGAGAGAGCCTGAAGCTGAAGCAGAATCACAAGAAAATCACAGCTGGTTTTATGTTAGGCTAAAGTGAGGGCTAGCATTGTTTATATGCTTGTAAATGGAAGGCTTTGGTAGGGAAGATTATAAGCTGATTCAACACAGTAAAATCCTGACACTGGAACTGAAATTTAGAAACAGACAAACTCAGCTATTTAAAAGCCAATCAATGAGATGATTTAAAATGTTATCCATAATATTCTCACTGTGGGTAAACTGTACATGGATCTAGGTCAGTAAGAGAAATGATGGAAGCAGCCCTTGTGAGAAAGATATGAGAAGGTGGAGGAGAAATTGCACACATTTTTAGAGTTGAAGCCTGAGGAAGTCCAGCCTTTTTCACTGTGGACTACTCCTGTGTGGAAACAGGTGGTTAGAGGGACTGTGAAGAACTTGATTGGAAGAGTGGTGAGGCTGGGGCTGCCATGTTACCAAGGGGGAGTGGCCACAGAATAGTATGATGTGGGCAGATCATTTAGTGACAGATATGAAAGAACAAGGAAGTGTTGAAGAGAGCCTGTGTGAATTCTGAAAGCCTCTACGTGGATCTCTATAAATAAGCATTGTTCATGGGCATTACCTGAGTCAGCAGTGTGAAGCATCAGCCACCGGATGGCAACATTGCAGTCTCGTAGGCAGTTCAGCAACCTTGGGATGTTATCCAGAACCATCTCTTCCCTTAAGTAACCTTCTTTCAGAAACTGCAGCACTTGGGCATGCACTTTCTCGCTGACAGTAGCATATCTGCTAGCCTTAGAAAGTTAAAACACAAACTGGAATTACATTAAAAAATTATTTATCACTTACTTAGCACCAGTAACTCATATCTATAATCCTAGTTACTCAGGAGGTGAGAACTGATCACTGCAGTTTAAAGGCAGACCAGACAAATCCATGAGACTCTTACTTTCAATTTAACCAGCAAAAAGCCAGAAGTGAAGGTGTGTGTGGCTCAGGTATATAGTCCCATCTAAGAATGCAAGAGGTCCTGAGTTCAAAGCCCCAATACTGTCACACACACAAAAATAATAATCGAAAATAAATTACATTTCAAGTCAATCCCTTACTGGTTTCTTTCATGGCAGAGGGAGATCTGGATGGAAAAGAAGTGTAAGGACAAAAGCTGCCTGCTCTTGCTGTTACTGTTGACAGCGGAGGCAGAACAGAACAGACATGCTAAAAATGAGACTTCTACAGGCATATGAAGCTTAACAAAAATAATGGGACTCAGTGTATCAAAATCCTTTAGAAATTTGGTTATTTTGCTTTACTAAAGCAAAAGTCCTATGCGGAACATCATTAAGCTAGTCAAGTTACTAAAAATTGACAAGTAGTGACTTAAAATGTCATAAATAAAAATATGTAACTGTGGAATGGGAGTTTTAGTGATGAAAAATTAATGCTCTGTAAGTATGGATGTGCCACATTCTCTACTATATTTCTAGAAGACCTGCCAGCACAGATTATTTTGTGCATTATTTATGGAATTCCATTTATTTGAATAAAACATGACAAAGTTTTTGGAATCAATATTGTCTCATCACATTGGAAATTCAATAACCCAGACGGTAAGGCTAAGGAACGTAACCATTTAGAAATACCAAACATTTAGAAATACCAAACCTCAATAAAATAACTGATTTTTTGACAATTCCTTCTGCCTGGTCTTATCAGAAACACATGTAGCTATTTAACTTTGAAATTGAGTATTCAGGGTCTTATTGCCTAAATAAGCTAAATAGCTCATCAGAACTGATTTGTTGGTCTTGGGGCTTGAACTCTGGGCTTGGGTGCTGTCCCTAAGCTCTTCAGCTCAAGATAAGCGCTCTACCACTTGAGCCACAGCACCATTTCTGGTGATTAATTAGAGATAAGAGTCTCATGGACTTTCCTGCCCAGGCTGGCTTTGAACCGTGATCCTCAGATCTCAGCCTCCTGAGTACCTAGGATTACAGGCATGAGCCACCAACACCTGGCCTGACTCAGTTTTGGGCAGAGAATTTTCTTTAGAACTTGAGTCTCCAGGGAGGGGGGAGGCTGGGAAGGGATGTGAAGGGTAAACAAAGGAGGAGGCTGCAATGCTTGGTAAGAAATGTACGCATTATCCTGCCCATGTAA